CTCCAATCATAGGTGTGCATCCCATTTATTTTACCATTCATGTTTTTATATAATATCTCCATTTTTTCAATCCTTTTTTGTTATGTGCAAATACATAGTTACTGCCTTTTAAAGACATGAATTTCTGCAGAAGCTAAATACGCCACAGCAGTTTGAGAATAAAGTGACTATTCTAATTATAATGGGAAAAGACATACCATGGAGCTTACTTAGAAATATAATGAGCAGTGGAGATATGCAAACTGCAACAACCCATAGCAATCTATCATATTTCCTCTGACTACAGGCAGATCAGTTATAGATGAATTATAACTGGTTTCAATGTGTTACAAGAGTTATTGTATAAGTAAGTTTATCTCCCTGAACAAAAGAAATACATCAGTGCAAAATTTTATATTCATCATTTATAAATGAAACAACCACAGAAACAAAATTCCTCATCATTGTACGTGAAATCAACTTCCTACCAAACAATAGCACAGCCTTCTACAGATACTTTTTAATAGTTTCATTCTGTCAAAAACTGTTGCAATCTCCTTTTTCATTCTGGTGACCATTGTGGTCAAGTTTACCGAAATATTAGGTCAAGAACTCTATTAATAGGGAAGGTTTTGCTTCCTTCTACTGCAGCTGAATAAAAAAACAAAAAACACTTGGAACGTGCCAGAATCTTGTTCTATTTACAATGGAACGGTCCGTTCTAGCAATATGCAGCATTCAGCATTAATAAAAGAAGTATCACTTTTAAAAGACTATACAGTTCAACAGCGAGGGTCACAGTTACGACAACTTTACCTAACTTAGGAAAACTATAGTCCGCAGTAGCCAGTCAAATATCTTGTTTTGCAGGAAACCTGACTGGAAGCCATGGGTAGCTACACTTTTGCTCCAGTGCGCATAACTACTTCTCAAATCCACAATATCCAAAATGTCTCTCTTACGTACTAACAGGTGGCTGAAGAATAATCTGTTACCAAAGATTTCACAATACGGAATAAACATTCCAGAAGAAAAATATAAACTACATTCAAAGATTAATTCGACAAAGGGCCAGCCAGTGTCTGTAGTCCAACTTGGTCCCACCAGTTAGCAGAGATAGGCCAACCATCTAAATCAGTAGAGATAGCATCCACTGAATTAATACACTCTGAATATTCCATTGACCCGTGAAATAGATGTCGTCCACACCTAAGATTTCTTTTTTTTTGGTTCTCCTTCTTGAGGTTCTTGGGGATACCACTTGAACGGGTTCTTCAACTGACACACGGGTCATGGTGACTCTATGTCTCCAAGCTTAGATGGAGCCTTCAGATACTGAAACCCAAACTCCTCGTGGAAGTGTGAGGATGGGAGAAGGAAAGCAGAGCTCTATGAACTAAGGATCTGTATGAGTGAAGGGGAGGAGGGGGGAGAGAGGATGAGCTTAACCAAGACCCTGCTCCCACCCCTTCTCTTTAGCTAAGAACATTTCTTTCATGCACTCTGAGCCTTCATCCTCAATCACCCTAATGCTCTCACCTCTAAATATAGCCAGCACATTTCCATCAGCACATTTATCAGACTAAAACCAGACAAGGTGATTGATAATTGTAGATAAATGTTAAAGAGTAGAAAGTAAATGAGTCCAAAGACAAAAGACAGCAATACTTGCAATTCCCATTAAAACAAAGGCATCCCGTAGGTATATATATATATATCCTGCCTACAAAAAAAGAAGACATCAAGGATCGGTTTACTCTTAGTGAGTCACCCCACCGAGATAGTCTGAAAGGTGACTTTAGGTGACATAACAATTTATGAAAATAGAAAAGGTACAAATTATACGCAGAGACCCCATCTCAGCTGCTGAGTTTGATCTCTTAAATGTCACTAAGATGTGAGTAATTTCTAAATTACGTCTGTGAAGTTTCTTATCTATCCAGGTCATGGTATGGCTAGTAATAGTTATTCACATTCCCACACTGGGAAGATTCCTGTTTATATTCTGTTCCAGTAACAGGGACCAGATAGAGAAGAATTTTTGTTGTCCAGATTTATATTTTATCCTGAGGAGCATTATAAAATGTAATTTACAAACAACTAGCAGTAGTTAGTAACATGCAGCTGGACTTGCTCTGTAATGTTAAGCAGGCTCTGTACTTTATCCGAGCCACTTCTCCAATTTTATCGAGTGTCAGGAAGATACCCCGGCATTTATATCCACATAGGTAACTCAAACACCTTAATCCAGTCACCATGGAATGTGTCCATCCAGACGTTGTTTGTCCAAGAACAGGATGGGAGGTGTGATAAGTGTGGAACAACCCAGTTCTAGTTACATATTTCCATCCTTGGTGTCAGAAAGTATGCATGGGTGTTAATCCTTCAATTCACGAGGCTGAAGGTGTGACTTGTTGTCAAATCTCCAGAGTACAGATGTTAAAATGGCATTATATGTGGAACACAAATGGTATTGAATGCCCTCACCGCTGTTCTGGAATGGTTATGTCAGTTTGATGTAGATGGACTATTTCCTGCCTCATGAGAACCAGTTGTCCAATCTGTCCAAAATGTGCACCTCAATGTCCTCGAAAGAATGTCCCTTTTCCTTATGGTGTAGGAAAAATGCTGAGCCTCAACCTGAGAGTTTGCCATCCTATGTTGGGTCATTCCTGTGTTATTAGGTCAACCAAAAACACAGGACCACCAAAGAGAGGGGCAAGGCCATAAACACAGACTAATATAGTCATCCTGTATGTAGCTGGAGTGTCTATAAAACTCAGAAGGATCCTTTACAAACAGAGCATTCCTGTGTCTTTCAAACCCAGCAACTGAGGAGACAAAACAACCTTTCATAAAATGAATGGCCTAGCATAAATGTCAAATTCTGCAGGTCAAGACTCAGCAGTTTTTCTACAACTTACGAAAAAAGGACAATATCTGCCGTGCTGCCCGACCAGCACTGCACAGTGTTTCTTCAAAATCCTCCATTGCTCATGTGTGCCTAGGCACAATAGACCTTTATGGTACGTTGGTCAACAGGTTAATGAGGGCTCCCACTGAAATGTATGGTGCCCATCCTACTTGCACTGCAATGGGTATATTCAGCTATCCTGCTTAATGTTGCCCATGTTTGTTGTCAATTATCAAAAGAAAAGTGAGAGCACCTATTAGTCTGTTATGCAGAAGTCAGACTTGTGGCCTTGCACTCGTCTAGTATCATTGCTTTTTATCTGCAGTGATGGTGACAGATGAATATTTTTTACACGGACAACAAACTCCTGACACTCCCCAGCAGCTGTGTGTAATATTGGAAGCCTCTATGTTAGCTGGAAGAATGGGAGGATAATATGACATATTAAAGAAGAACTATGCCAAGCACTGCACGCATCTGAACCAGCCACATAACACAGCCAAGTGCAATTTCAGAAAGACAACAACCATTCGTGATAGGGACAGGAGCTTTCCTCTAAGTAGTATCATTTATCCCAATTTGTGCTATAGCACACTACATCAATCACACTGTTATGCAATTTTTCAAGACATCAGAAGTCTCCTTTCCAGTTATATAGAAATTTAAAAAAAAAGTGCAGTATAG